AATAATTCTTCTATCATATATGACCAAATCATGAACTTTATCTACAGTTTCTGGTGTGGTCGATACCGAGGGCTTCTTGACCTCGGATCATCTTTACATGATTGTCTACCGCGCCTAAGCTCAGCACACCACCTTTTTACTGTTAATTTGCCAGAGCACCATTTCTTAATGTTGCTTCCTTAATGTTGTCCTGGTGGAATTCGTGCAGTGAAATTTTCTTTTTAATAAAATATTTGATCACGGAAAGAAGTTCGATCTTCTCCATGATGTTTAACACTGCTCACTTCTTTACTTCGATAATCCACAGCACACAAAATAAGCTCGTTAAGTTATACGTTACGTGTTGTTTACCCATAAAAAAGGTCCAAACTTAATATTTATAGGTAAAGAATACATTTCAGTTTTTTATTTAGATAGAGCCACGAACTTATCGGACAACCCTCGTATATAAAACTTCAGAGTATATAGACGTTGTTAAAACGTGATGGTTTTAATATAAGGGATTAGTTTAATATGGAATATTGCGAGTGAAAGGAAGGGTTATTATTTTTCTTTTGTGAATGAAGTTAGTTGCTCTAAAAGCACAAACAGTTTTGCATGCGAAGGAAAAAATTTCGTGGGTTTCAATAACAAAATTATACACTTAACTAATCGCTCTGTTTATCTTAAACATTTTTTTTTTTGCATATTGATAACATTTGCTTTTCTTTTTGTTCGAATTTATTGGACACAACGTGAAATAACGAAACCAAAAATAAGCTCAAACGAAACGAGTAGCCTCACAACCTGAAGAAATTTGCTTAAAAAGTTCAAGAATATACTGAAAATAACAACTGAAATTTGCACAAGTAAGAAACTGATTCTTCTGTGTTAAAGAGAGCGTGGGCGCAACGCGACTTTGGTATAATATAAAATAACTTTTACTTACTTCAGGTCTTGGTGTTGAAGCTGAAGATTTGCACGATCAGCGTAAGGGCAACCAGACAAACTGATAAAGAAAAGAAAAGTGTACTAATGAAACCAGCTAAGACTATACTAGGAAAACACTGCTTATCAATGAAACCAGCTAACACTATACTAGGAAAAACACTTGAGTGATAATGGAACCAGCTAACACTGTAATAGGAAAAACACTTGAGTGATAATGGAACCAGCTAACACCATAATAGGAAAAACACTTGAGTGATAATGAAACCAGCTAACACCATACTAGGAAAACACTTGAGTGATAATGGAACCAGCTAACACTATATATAATAGGAAAAACACTTGAGTGATAATGGAACCAGCTAACACCATACTAGGAAAAACACTTGAGTGACAATGAAACCAGCTAACACTGTAATAGGAAAATACTTGAGTGACAATGAAACCAGCTAACACTGTAATAGGAAAACACTTGAGTGATAATGAAACCAGCTAACACTATATATAATAGGAAAACACTTGAGTGATAATGAAACCAGCTAACACCATACTAGGAAAACACTTGAGTGATAATGGAACCAGCTAACACTATATATAATAGGAAAAACACCTGAGTGATAATGAAACCAGCTAACACTATACTAGGAAAAACACTTGAGTGATAATGGAACCAGCTAACACTATACTAGGAAAACACTTGAGTGATAATGGAACCAGCTAACACTATACTAGGAAAACACTTGAGTGATAATGGAACCAGCTAACACTATATATAATAGGAAAAACACTTGAGTGATAATGAAACCGCGCGCTCCCCTCTTTCTTTTTTCAAGTGAGTGAAAGAATGGGTTAAGCGACGAGAGACATAATACACGGACACACATTAAAATGGCGTGTGTGTGTGTGTTTTAGTAAATACTCATTATTTTCACTAAAAAAAATATATATCAAAGCGCTTAATTTTGTATTATTGCAATATTGACTCTACCCTAATTACTCGCGCCCCTGGAGGGAGCGCCCTCAATCTGGGAATCGCTGGTCTATGGTACTCTAATTATGATATAAAAGCACCAAATGAGTTTGAATTGTTAATCCTAATAAGCTATTAATTTTCTTAATAAAAGGTAACTGACGAACTAATTACAAAATACTAATCATTCTTTTTTTTTCAACGTTGTAACATACCTTCGATGTGTGACGTAGTTTCCAGACACATGACCCATGCCGTCACATCCGGGTGTCGGACATTGAACAAGTTCTTTGCCCTCTCTGCATTTTGGTGATGTCTTCATCATTTTAAGTGGAGGCGGATTGCTACAAATGGAGTCACATAAGCTATGGAATTAATGGAGAAAGCATGGAAATGCCAACAGAACTCAAGAACCGAGACAAAATAATCATCTTAAAAAAAAAAAAAATGTTTGCTAATAGGAAATACTCGAGATGCGCTTCTTATATATCATTAATAATTGAAACTAATAACATTCGAACCCGACATTAAATCCACGAGAGTTAAAATGACTAATTATTTGCCTTCGAACTTCTTTGTATTCATACGCTACCTTAAGTAATGATACAGTAAATGGTTTGAGTGAAGAGGGAAAAATGTTGCCAAGTATGTTGCAAGTTTGTTTCGGATATTTGCGCGAATCTACAACCGTTATAGCCGTCTCTTACTTTGATCTGAGAATATATACTAGGTGATAAAAAAAAGGCAATGTGTAGAAACTACTTTTATGGCGTTTAGCACGTAAACAATGGTTCCTTACGCTACGTGGCAAAGGTCAAATGTGTTGAATTTCGCGAAAAGCGACACGAAGTCTATCTGAGCTAGCCGTCCCTAATTTTGAAGTGATAGACCAGAAGGAAGGCAGCTAGCCTACATCACCCATCGCCAACTCTTGGGCTACTTTAATGGGATTTAATCATCATTCTTAAAACGCACCTACGTCCACAAAGTTCGGAGCGCGATTTTACGGCAACGGAACACGAACCACAAATCCTCGGACTTTTAGTCCTGCACACTTTTCACTAGTATGATGACAAAGAAAGAGAGGTTAGCAGTGGGGTTCGTGAGACTACAAACAAAGAAACGTACTCAAGAAGTTCCAATTTAAAACGAGTTTTAATAAAAAGACATTCAATACACAAAATCTATCAAATCTGATATAACGACAGTCGCAAAACAGTTACTGTAATAAGACGTGTTGAAGTGCATTATATTTACATTATTTAAAGGGGAACTCCGGGATTACGACAAAGGCATCTAGGTAGGCTTAAATGGGTGCTTAACAAAGTTCTCGGTAATATTTTCGTATATATATATAATGGAGGACACTGGAGGCCGCCATTTTCCCTCCTTCCTCTGCTGTGACGTACTAGCGTACAGAAAGACAGGCGCACGTCATTGGCTTAATAAGACACGCCTTTGTGCTGTGCTCATGAACCCTACTGTTTGTTGCAGAATCTCATCACCAGAGGCAAAAAATATATACAGATGTTTTTGGAAGTTTTTAAATAGATATCTGAGGATAAATTTAATAATTTCTGGGTGTCAAGCATTTTCTCAAAAAAAGTCATATGAAAAACACAGAAATGTAATTTATCAATATATTAGAAATAATTCTATAATAAATAATAGGCATTAATGAACACTAAATGGGTTTACAAATGATCAAAAGTATATTTTATTGTATGTTCACTCATTATTTTACTAAAATAAACTTGTCATTATAGACTATAAAAGCGAGTTAACCCCTGTACTAATAAAAAGTGTGGCGGAAGGTAGTATTTTTCTCTCTTCACTTTTCTTCTTCATTTACATAGGCCCGGCATGGCCAGGTGGTTAGGGCGATCGACTCGCAATTTGAGGGTCGCGGGTTCGAATCTCCGTCTCACCAAACATGATCGCCCTTCAGCTGTAAGGGCATTATAATGTGACGGTCAATCCCACTATTCGTTGGTAAAAGAATAGCCCAAGAGTTGGCGGTGAGTGGTGATGCCTTCCCTCTAGTCTTACACTGCTAAATTAGGGACGGCTAGTGTAGATAGCCCTTGTGTAGCTTTGCGTGAAAATCAAAACAAACGAACAGTTTTTTTTATATTTGATTCCACAATGGGGCAATTTCTCTTAACTCGAAGTAAAATAAGTATTATTTTGGCTATGTGGCAAAGTAAAATAAGTATTGTTTTAGCTATGTGGCAAAGTAAAATAAGTCTTGTTTTAGCTATGTGGCAAAGTAATATAAGTCTTGTTTTAGCTATGTGGCAGAATGAAATAAGTCTTGTTTTAGCTATGTGGCAAAGTAATATAAGTCTTGTTTTAGCTATGTGGCAGAATGAAATAAGTCTTGTTTTAGCTATGTGGCAGAGTGAAATAAGTCTTGTTTTAGCTATGTGGCAGAGTGAAATAAGTCTTGTTTTAGCTATGTGGCAGAGTGAAATAAGTCTTGTTTT